GGCCCTCTCCCGGCCTCCTGGCGCCCAGGGAAGGGCTGGACAAGACAACTGGTCAGTGCTGAGCACAGGGCTGCGGGGGGCACAGGGCTGCGGGGGGGCACACAGCAGGGCAGCCCGAGGGGCCCCGGGTCCCTTCACCTCTCTCTCTCCAGTCACACCAGGAAGCCAGGAACGTGTGGGAAATAAGAGCTAAAAATGCTGAAGACAGGAGCGTGCTGTTAGAATCACAACCTTTCAGACAAAGCCATCTGTTTTCCATGTTTATAGCTGCTGACCACTGGGATTATTTAGGTATGCTCCTGTGATACAGAAAACCTTACAGAACGTACTGAAAAGCAAGAGAATGACTCTACTTTCTCAATGTCACCTAAAAAAATTTCACATTGCTCTGGTGGGTTCTTTCCGTCTGTGTGAATTGATTTAAGATACTGCATCTGTCCCTCAGCGAAAGAATTTCTAGATTGGGGAAAATGCGCTGCCAGATGAGGCTTAGAGAAATGGCAATTTGAAATAAGCAGACCATGCATTTGCTCTGTCGTTCCTAATCAATGTTTCAAGTTGGGTCCCATTAACTGTTATTTCTGAGCTGCTATTTTATTGGAGGTGCCAATTAAATAAATGGTCATTTCATCCCCATGACAACAGTGGAATGGTGCAGCAAATTAAGAAATATGGTGGGAGGGGAAGGGCAAGAGGAGGGGAGGGGAGAGAAGCCAGAATGGTCTCTATAGCAACAGGAAAGCAGACCATGATGAGTCCGTGGAAGGGGAGGGAAGCTGTGTACTAGATGAGAAAAGAACAAATCCAGAGGGCAGGACCATGGAGGCAATGGCATGAAAAGAGGCAGACTGCTAGTATGCTTCGTCTACTAGTAATTATGCTGTAGGAATTAATCACGACAGGAAAAATAAGAGCTAGGAAAAAAGTAATTAAGATAATTCAACATCTGTAACTCTAATCTGGAAACACGCCTATTTCCTATAACCTTGGGGGAAAGGGTCACAGTGGCAAGATGTAGAATCTCTCTCTCTAGTTCTGCCCCTCAAAGCACGTCCTGCAGACGTGCAGGAGCTGGTTGGAAATGCAGAATCCCACCTCAGACCTGTTGAATCCAGAACGTGTTATTTCAACAAGGTCCCCACGAGATTCAAATCAGTTTGAGAAGCACTGATGTAAGAGGATGAGAGTTGCTTGTTAAAGTCACTGCAAGGAGCACTTACACACACTGAAATAAACGTGAATATGCAGCCTGAAGAAGCCCAGAACATTCCCCCGCAGTGGCCCAAAGTGAAAGGGGGGGGGGCAGTGTGAGCCCCGCCCGGGTGCAAAGGGCTGTGCTGTCTAGAGAATCAGAACACAACCCCCTAAATGTCCGTTTGCAGCTGGCGGGGGCACCTCCAGCTGTTACCAGTGGTGCGACCCTCCCCCGGCCGGGAGCGCTGGTGGCCGCCCGTTCTCCACTGCACAGGGCCCCGCTGAGCACTGCTTGGCTGCGGGCAGTCGCCGAGGCCCCGCGTTTCTTCCTCTCCATCTTCATCATTGCATCTCTTTTCTCACCACACGGCCTTTTAATTTTCGGATTCCATGGAGGCTCCATTTACAGACATCAAAGCTCAGCTGCTCCAACAAACCTTTCCCCTCAGGAAGCTGCTCCGACAGAGCCACGTGGACTCTGGGTGACCTGCTGCCACCTCCGCACCGCGACCCCCCGCCTGCGTGTGGCCCAGGGGAGCCGGCTGCCCGCACCGCACTGGGTGTCCTGGGTCCTGCCTAGGGCGGCAGGGAGGGGCCGGGAGGAGGGCCAGTACTCATCTGTGACCTGGGCGTTTGCCGTCCCCCTCATGGGCCATCCTGAGGAGGAAGGGGTTGACTCGTGGGAAGGGCTGGCACTGACACAGCACCTCAGTCCTCAGGAAGCCCAGCCTGTTCCTGCCGGGCCCATCCCCACCTTCAATCAAGTTGTCCCCTCGTTTTGGTCCATTCGGGCTGCCATGACAAAGTGCCACAAGCTAGGTGGCTTATAAACAAGACATTTATTTCCCACAGTTCCAGAGGGCTGGAAGTCTGAGATCGGGGTGCCAGCACGGGCTGGTTCTGGTGAGGCACCTCTTCTGGGTTACAGACTGCTGACTTTCGTTGTATCCTCACATAGCAGAAAGACAGATAGAGGGCCCGCTGGGTTCCTTTATAAGGGCACTAATCCCTTTTGTAAGGGCTCCACCCTCATGATCATCGCCTTCCAAAGGCCCCACCTCCTAACACCATGGCACTGGGATCAGCATATGCATTTCAACATACGAATTTTGGGAGGATACGCTCACCCAGTCCATAACACCACTCTCTCTGCTCCTCCTCCCCAACCCTTTCCAGACCCAGATCAACTCCCCACGAATCCTCCCTCACCAGCCTCCCTCTCTCCTCGATTTCTCTCTCCCACATCTGAACTCCTATACACCTGAGGCAGGGTTTCTTAACCTCAGCACTATGCACATTTGGGGCTGGATGTTTCTTTGCTGTGGGGCTGTCCTGTGTATTGTAGGATGTTTGACAGCACCCTTGGTCTCTACCCACTGCATTCCGGGAGCATCTTCTCCCCAGTGGTGACAACCAAAACAGTCACCAGACATTTTTGGGCAGG